GCAGAAGGAAAGAACTGTCAAACCCAAGAAGCCAAAGTTGTGAGCTTCTGGCACTGTTGGTTGATGGAAGGCTTTGATGAAGTGGTGGAGGGAATGGCGTGTGGAGGAGATGAGAGAGCTTCTCATTAGATTCAGACTGAAGTGCCTTGGTGTGACCTGTGCAATACCAGAAAACATAACATAGCCATCAGATGATTGATAAGGATGGTGTGGTTGGATGAAGGGGGAGCTAGGAAATGGCTCTGGCTGGGTGCGTGCTATCCACATACAGTACTTTACTCTGTTTCATTTAATCTCCCACAACCCTGTGGGTAGGGAATATTATCTCTTTTTACAAATGAGAAAAAAGTCTCAGGGATTGAGAAAATTGCCAAGGTCTCTTTACTTATAAGTGGCTCAAATGAATATGGCAGTTTACAGCTGTCCCGCTCTTCTGAAATACAGGAAATACAGACACCAACAGTATTTATCTTCTTATGTTTGGTAAGTAAAATACCCGGTGGTCCATCCATTAGAAAGGCTGTGATAGCTTTTTTGTTACTAAACTTCAGTAGAGATCTCTTAAAACTGTAGATGGGCCAAATTCAGTTTGGTTATGTGGCCTACGATGTGCCAGGTGCAATATTGAGTCCTGAGGATCCAAGAGTAAGACTATGGTTTCTGATCAGAGTCTGAGTCAAGAGTGTGGTGGAGGAAAAGGAAAGACGATGACCTGTAAAAAATTCTTTACCATATGATTAAGATATATTTTTTAAAAAGGAGGTAATTACCTGGAGGTTAGAGAATGATGTCCACGTCCATAGAATAGTTCCTACTATGAGTTCATGGATTCTTTGGTCATTGATTGCCAGGACTTGCCCAGAGAGGTATGGGATGCAGTTTTTGTTAGGGGTAAAGCTGAAGAGAAACCGTACATTGTTGTCACAACCTTGGGAGTCTTTCTTTTCTAGCCAGCAATCTGAATTCATGTGGGTAACAAAGTTTTTTGGTTTTGGTAAATGAAGAATCTTGCATTTCTACAGCTATTAAGCTTTTTTTTCCTTTACTTTTTAAAAGTTCATTTATTTAAGTAATCTCTGCACCCAGCGTGGGGCTCAAACTCAAGACCCTGAGATCGAAAGTCACATGCTCTTCCAACTGAACCAGCCAGGTGCCCCAGCTTTTTCTTTTCTTAATTTTGAGCTCTCCTCACCCCCTTCTCTAACTGGAGGGCAGAGGGGTTTCTAATTCCAACTTAGCACATAACTGTCATTCAATAAAAATGTTGTGCCATGGGGCAACAGAACTTGAAATCTTCCTGTGATTAATTCGTATTGATTTTTTGGGAAGGAGATAGAAGGGGATTCGTTTTCATTGGATAAAAAGCTGCCTCCTCACCTCAACAACAGCAAAAATTACAGATAAATCATTAAGTGTAAATCACAGCCCAAAATAAGTGAAAAAAATTTCATAACTTAGGTTTCTTTTATAAATTTCATCTTCCAGCCAGATGCATTCCATCTCAGCCCAGAATGCTGGCTGTATTTGCAATTCTTAAACTGTGTCTCACCCTTGCTATATATTATGTTCTCCACGAAGAATAATGCAATTATGAAATGACTATTGGTAATCTCTGAGGAATCCTGGATAATAGGTGTTCCAGAGTCTGCCAGGCTTGGAGACCACTGCCCCTTCCTGGGGCAAACTGATTTCAGGTCTTTCTCATCATGGGAAGATGGCAATTGTAGGGAGGGTGTCAAGAATCAAAGATGAGTCAGGATGTTTTACATGCTCTCATTCTCTAATAAACACAGTATAAAGCAGCCCTTGAACATAGCCCTTGGCCTGACAGTGGGATTCTGTAGCACCTCAGACATTGAAAGGTGGTGAATCTTTCAGTGCTTTTTTCAGGGCAGAAATAGCAAAGTCATCAAAGCATAACTCTTGTATTTGGGATGCAAATTACATATAACCATATCAGGATTTTCTTGAGAGTTTCAGTCTAGAAGACCAAAGACAGTGAGTGTTGATTCTGTTTCCTAAAAGGTAACTCAAGGAAATTATAGACTAGTAAGCTATACAATGCAATTCTAGAAAAAATTGCTCAGCAGTTGTTTTTCAGCATTTTATAGTGAGGGCTAAGAATTAGTATTGATTCACCAAGAACAGGTAGTGTAGTTAGTTTTGTTTTTTCCTTTTAGGCTTAATATTGGGTGGAACCACATGAAAGTGCTAATCTTGAAAATTGAAAGTAGTTGGATATCAACAGTTTCATAGCTTCATTCTAAGAGTTTTTATTGCATTTTTTTCTGATAGTACAATTAGTGTATGTTCATTAGAGCATTCTTAGAAAATAAAGGAAAATAAAATTTACTCATAACCTAACAATCTATGTTTAGGCATTTCTTTCTGCCTTTCCCTATGTGATGATGTTCACAAGAATATTATTTAAAAAAAACATAATTTAGATTATAGTTCATTTTGGTTGAGTATCTGACTATTTATATTAAACCTATAGTAAGCCTATCCCTGTAACATTTATAGAAACGGAATTTTTACTGTTACGATTTCAGCAAGTAGATGTCACATCATTTATCTATAGCCCTATTTTAAGACATGTTGCTTCTAGTGTTTTACTATTATAAATAGTGCTGTGATAAACATCTACATGAATCTTGGTCCACATCTCTGATTATTTCCTTAGGATAAATTTTCAAAAGTGGAATTTCTGGGTGAAAGGGTTTGACCTCTTAAAACTTATTTCCAAGTTGCTTGCCATAGATGTACTCTTTTATGCTTCTGTCAGCAGTGTCTGGGAGAACCTATCTTACTAAAATCTCACCATATTAGCTATTACTTCTAAAACCAACAGAAGAAACAGGATAGGCCAATTTTAGATTTCCATTTTTGATGGGTTTTACTAAACAAGATATATAATTTGATTTTGATTTTATCAAAGGACTTGAAAATGTTTCTCATAATATCGTTAGGGTCCAGTCAAGCCAGTGTGAACTGAATGTGGGTAGAATTGGGGGAATCTCTAGTTTCCCAACAGCTGGACCCTAGAGAGGTTTTATTAGTGGAGTTTCAACTGGTAGGGACACTTCTGTTATCACGTGGTGAGGCTCAGTGACACTGTCCTGGTGAATATTATTTGTAGAGACTTAGATGAAAACAGAACATGCAGTTAGCAGATTTGCAGATATGTCACAAAGTTGAGAGGGCTGGCTGTTAGTTCTCTCCAGCCAGACTGGGGGCTCTTTAAACATAGGAGCCAGAGTACTGAGAACATTTCTTCTGGAGTCAGCCGTGTGGCTTTGGGGAGTACCCTAACATCTCTGTGCCTCAGTTCCTTCATCTCTAAAATAGAAATCAGCAGAATACTTAACCTCATATGTTTGTTTGGAAGATTAAATGAGTTATTAAGTATAAAGCACTGAGAATAATTCTTGGCCTTTAGTAAAGGATCTATAAAACTTAGCTGCTTTTTACTGTTGTTGTTCATCGTTTCCTCTCTTAAATGGTAGATAACACATACTTCTTCACTTCATGAATGAATGACAGAATCAATATCTTACAGACTTTGTAGGCAGGTCAAATGGGCCCAGACTGCAAATGAAATGTAATAGACAAGTCTTACATTTATGTTTTATAATATTGGACTGTTGTGTAAAGAAAGGGTTGAGATTTATCCTAGGTAGCTCCCTAAAGTAGAGAGGAGTTAACTGACAAAAATTTTCTTTCTTTTTTCTACTAATTAGCTCTACTAAGCAGTGGAGTTGCCCTTTCAGGTAGTGGAAAAAAATCAAACAGAAACTTCCACACCATTGCAAGTATATGATAGAAAAGAGAAGCCTTCTTTGAACCAGAGGTTAGGCTAGATGACCTCTGAAGTCTCTTCCAGCTGTAGGCTGGTTCTGTGATTCTGAGTGGAATATGTAGGGTTATCACAAAGCATGTAGTAAGGCCCTATGAATGTATCATTGGAAGGGTTGATGCTGTTAATCCGGGCCCAGCTCAGTCTGGCCCTCCCTGCTTCACTTTCTTTCACCTGTTGTATGTCAGCCTGGCAGTGGCCCATTGCCCCACTTTATGCCATCTTAAAGCCTAGCCTTATGTCCTAGGCTGCCCCCTCCTCCACAGCAATGCCAATGGGACGAGTATTTGGAACAGGGGCACATTTTTACATTTTTGGGTAAACAAAATCAGAAGAAAAATGGTGGCTTGCAAAGTGTATCTCAGAAGTGTTTAAAAAACCAAGCAGAAGATTTGGTGCATGCTAGATATGCTTTTGTTGTAGCCTTCAAAGGGGTTGAGGGTTGATTTCACCTTTTGCTCAAGAGTTCTGGGCTCCGGGCTTCTTACTTGCCTGGTGTCTCCCCCTAAGTGTAGCATCAGTATTTAATCCCCTGGGAGGTTGTCACTGAGCCCCTACTGTCACACATTCTCTTTGGGCTTATATACCTTGGGCTGAAATGGTTTTTCTCATTATGAACTCTGATCCTTTGCCCTTAAGCTATTTAAAGGTAGCTTCCAAATCAAGTTAGAAAGCTGGCTTGGGAGCCCAACGGTTGCTTGCTTTCTTAAGGCTCTGTGCCGAATGATTTCTGACATGTCTTGTCATTGTTTTGTGCTGCTCTCCCCATTTATAATATTTGGAGCATTGGCTTTTTGCCACACTTGTCAAGGATTTATGGGCGTTAATGACATGTAGTGTATAAAGTGCTTTGGGATTCTTTCATGCAACTTGGTATTATCTTGAAAGCAAGAGGTTTAACTGTTCATTTGTTAGATAACTAGTGGGATTTTAAACAGATGTAATCACACCATGTCTATTATTTAATGTATTAGGGGATAAGCACCAACTTTTACTGCTCAAATTTTAAACAAAGTGGCATTCTTTTTTTTTTTTTTCCTGTTTATGAAACCTGTTATTAGGAAATGCCTTGGGAAAAATTGGGAGTCAGGGTCCTGAAAAAATTCTTCAGTTCGTGTTTTTTAATGTTCTTGTTTGTCCTTAGTTTTGTTGCCTGGCGCTCAATAGTTGGAGTGAAGAACTCATGGCGCCACCATTGTGCTGCGGCTACCAGGGGGGGCGTCTGTAGCTTTGTCATAGAGATGTTAACTGAGGTCCGTGCTGGGCAGTGTGCAGTCCAAAGGGTTGCTGCCCTGTGTGCCAGGTGGGTTAATATGTTTTAGAGAAAGCATCTGTGGAATTTTACAGTGGATATTCTTTTGCAGCCATATTAATTTTACCCCTTTTGAGTCGTATTGGTTTACCAGCCAGAATCTAGAGCATGCACATGCATTATCAGAGTGATTTGAAACAGTTATGACACACAGGGAGTGAACTTTATGGGGGTGATTCTGATGCTTTCAAGGCCTAGGGTCTCATTGCATATATTTTGAGTTAGAGCAGTAAGCCTGGTGCCTTAAGAGGGCTTTGCTTCTCCTTTTAATCTTTGGAATTTATGAAACCAGCGGCTTTGTGGCCTTCAGTAGGAGCATTCACGTAGAGCCTGAAGGCCCTTGGAATAGTGAAGCCAGAGAGAGGAATAGATCTGTTTACTCTTGTCCTTGTGTTGAGTTAATGTGTACAGTGTAGAGCTCTGCAAGGTAAAAGTGAGGATCGTAGAGCTGGAATACATGGACGATTTTTTGAAAGATTACTAAGCTTTAGATTTCTGGACTCATTTAGGCTGAAAGGAACCTTAGTCCAACCCCCTTGTTTTATAAATGAAAAAGTGGAAGTCCATAGGGTCCAGTTGAACCAGAATCAGGACTGATCTAAAACCCAGGGGTCTGCCTTCCCACACCAGAGCTTGGATCTTATCATTCTGATAACTGCCATAGAACACCACTGCAGCATTTAGAAAATCTGAATCATCATATAAGAAAATGACTCTACCACTAAAATAATGCAGTTGTTGAGTCTGTAGTCCAAGCAGGTTTTATCATTTGTATTAAGTAACTTCAGCTGTTCCATAGTCTTTGGAAAGTCTGAGCTGACTATTTACTTTGTCCACCTTTTACCCAGTTAACAGAATGCTTACTCTCTTATTGCCACTTAAAAGTCATCTGGAAGACTCATGCTGACAATGTAATGCACGGTGAAGGAAGGGGGTAAAGTAGGAAAACATAATTATTGCATGCACGGTCTCTTTAAAGGCTGTTTTCTCTTCCCTCCTCTATCTTTTCCCCAGCCTAGTTGGGTGGATCTGATTTATATAGCTTTGTTTTCCCCTTTCTTTTCCTAAATTGGGTAAGAGCTGGAAAACTATTCAGGAGAAGCTGCAAACTGTAGCAAAGCATGTGAAAAAGACAGTAGTTTGTGCCTGTCTCAGCCTTGTTATAGATCTGTGGGTAGTCTGGAGCTTACAAAACTGTACTTAAATATTTTCTGTAATATAGGTTGAGGACAGATTTCTATTTGCTGTTGATGACTGTCAAAACAACTTCCCTAGAGCGATTGTCACAGAGTGCGAGGCCTCATTTTCTGATGGAGAAACTGCTTTGGTTTATCCTCACTGTATTTTTACATGATTATTTCTTATTTTCTCAAGTGCTTATGACATTTAATAAATTTGCAGTTGAGAATTGTGGCAGCCAGTAATGCGAGATAGGGAAATTGGGCACCTGGAAACTATTTAAATACAAACAGATGACAACACAACCAGCAAGAATATGATTTTGAAATTGTGAATGAAAATGATCTAGGCCCGAGACAAGCTGAAACTGTATTTCCTCCCTCATTCCTTTCTTAACCAAAGTTGCTTTTCCTTCAAACGTAGGCAAGTCTTTTGTGTAATCCTTGGGAATTGATACTTCATAGGAGTTCTTTACTTCAGTTAAGTGGTTCAGTTCAGTGGTATTCTTAAGATAAGTTCAGTGGTATTCTTAAGATAAGTTCAGTTCAGTGGTATTCTTAAGATTCAGTGCTGAAGATGTGGCTTTTTTCAACTATGTTTTGCTGAATCCCAAGCTTCTTCAAGGCATACTGTAAAACCAGCCCTATTACTAGGCAGATGTTCGTACAGTACAGTTTATGTCTGCTTTGTTTTTTACATTTGGTTTCAGCCAAGGTGGGTTACTACTCTGAAGGATGAAATGCAATCCAAAAAGGTTTGGCCAAAATAACTTTGTAAGCCTCCTCACTATATGAATATTTAGGAAATAGTCTGCTTGCAGGAAAAAATGTCTTGTTAGGTTTTAGTTACACCAAAAACATTTTGAGCAACTAGCCTCAATATGTAGGGCCAAATTACTTGAATGCTGAGATTGTATTGTTTTGGAAAGGACTGTAATATTCAGCTTTCTCTTTGTGTCATATGTTCTTGTTAAGGTGCAATGCAAAGGAAGTACTAGGTAAATATATTTTTTCAAGGCCTACACCTTTTTAGTCTTTATTTTTTTTATTTTTAAAACCTTTGTGGGGCGCCTGGGTGGCTCAGTCGTTGAGTGTCTGCCTTTGGCTCGGGTCGTGATCCCAGGGTCCTGGGATCGGGCCCCACATCGGGCTCCCTGCTCTGCGGGAGGCCTGCCTCTCCCTCTCCCACTCCCTCTGCTTGTCTGCTTGTGTTCCCTCTCTCGCTGTGTCTCTCTGTCAAATAAATAAATACAATCTTAAAAAAAAATAAAACCTTCTTTGTGTTAGGTTTTATTGTGGTAAAAAATGCATAAAATTTACCCTATTTCTAAGCTTACAGCTCAGTAGTGTTAAGTATATTCATATTGTTGTGAGATAGATCTCCAGAAGTTTTTCATTTTGCATGACTGAAACTCTATACCTATTGAATAGCAAGCAGCTCTCCCTTTCCCCTCTCCCTGGCTCCTGCTAATCACTGTTCTGCTTTCTGTTTCTGTGAGTTTGACTGCTTTAGATATCTCCTATAAGTGGAATCATGTAGTATTTGTCTTTTTGTGACTGGTTTATTTCTCTTGGCGTAATAGCCTCAAGGCTCATCTGTGTTAGAGCACGTGACAGGATTTCCGTCCTTTTAAAGGCTGAATAACATTTCCATCTTATGTATGTATGTACCACATTTTGTTTATTTGTTCATCCTTTGAAGGACATTTGGGTTTCTGCCACCTCTCTTGACTATTGCGTTTAATCTTAAAATTTATATTTCTTGGATAATATGTTTTTGCCAGGTTAAAATCAAACATGAACGTTGGTAGATATGTATGTGTGATTGAGTGTAACAGTGGACAGAGGTGTGTAAAATACTGTGGCTTTGAAGATTAGAATGTATATCTCTCTTAAAATTCTGTAGTATTGATAGTAATTTTTTTATGTATGCTTAAAATATTTTTAAAATTGTCAACCAAATGACCCTGGTAACTGCAGGTAAAGTCATTGAGGTTGTGCAGTATTAATAGATGAGGTTTTCCCAGGTGTGTACAGCCTTAAATTTTCTTGAAACTGAAATTGCCTCTGAGCTCTTTTAAAATGCTCATTTACAGTTTTATGCCTGAGACCTACTGTCGTTTATAAAAGCGTCTCTTTGAAGTTCGGTGAAGCGTCATGTAAGCAGCCAGATGATACACGCACGGTATGCAGTTCACCACCAATTGGAGTACAGTAGGAAGTGGGTATTTGCCTTTTGGAATCTTGGGAAGAGTACTGTTTCCTTTGACTAACCCTCATGGAATCATTAAATGTGGAGAGAATATTTTTTTTTTAAGATTTTATTTATTTATGAGAGAGAGAATGAGAAAGAGAGAGCACTTGAGAGGAGGGAGGGTCAGAGGGAGAAGCAGACTCCTGCCAAGCAGGGAGCCTGATGTGGGATTCGATCCCGGGACTCCAGGATCATGACCTGAGCTGAAGGCAGTCGCTTAACCAACTGAGCCACCCAGGCGCCCAAATGTGGAGAGAATATTGAGCTTGCTTCTCCATAAGAAATTTACTTGAGCTTCTTGTTACCATTAATTGCCTCTATGGGCCAAAGGAAATGAAAGTGTGGGCAGGCAGTCAGTTGGCTACTGATATAAAATGGAAGTGAAACATAGGACTGGCTTTAATAGTTGGTGGTGAAAGTATACACAATTAACAGTAATTTCATAAGGTCTTGTAAATAGTTTTCCATATACCTGTTGTGAATAAGAATTAGTAATGCCAGGTGATAAGGAAAGCATTATTTTAATGTTTGTATATGTCTTGGAGATGGAAGATAGGATTATTTAGACGAGATCAGGCGTGTTCAGGTGGTATGGCCGTAGACGGAAGATAGGATTATTTAAAGAACAACAACGAAAAACAGAAGATGTTCCAGGGCCAGTAAACAAGTTGATTTGATTTGATTTGTTTTTAGAATTTACCCTTAATAAGAGTGGTCAGATATTCTTAGTAGTTTATTTTTTTTAATGATACAAGATAAGAGCAGCTTGACATTAAAGTTTTAGATACATATGTTGCTACTTGATTTCCAGAGTCTTGTAAAACATATTATTAGATGGCCTATACTCATTTTCTAAATTAAAATACATTAAAATTATTTTGGTTTTGAGAGCTTTTGAGAAATTATCTGACTTTATACAGTTGGTATTTACTGTCTTTTTCCTCTCTGCGGGGCACTATCCTGAGCATTGTACATACCTTAGTTTATTTAGTCCTCACTGATATACTATGAAATTATTATTCATTTTACTGAAGAGGAAATGAGCCACAGAGAAGCTACATAACTTAAGGTCACATATGTAGTGATGGGAAGTAAGATTTGATTTGAATCCAGGCAGTTGATCCTAAACCCACATTGATCATATTAATGACTATGTTGTGTTAATTCATACGTGGCATGCAAAAGTTCTTGGCATTCAGCACGTTTTAGGGTTTGAGCAAATGTTGGTTATTTCTATTGAATTTCTTAGGTTGCCTGGAGATGCTATAAAAGTTTGCTATAGGGTCCACCTGGGTGGCTCAGTCAGTGAAGCAACTGACTTTTAATCTCAGTTCAGGTCTTGATCTCAGGGTCATGAGTTCAAGCTCTGCATTGGGCTCCACGCTGGGCATGGTGCCTGCTTAAAAAAAAAAGTTTCCTGTAAAAATATGATAGGGAGCCATTGCTCTGGAGACTGCTGGTTTACCTGATTGATTTCAAGCCAGGATTTGCTTGGCCACTGACATCTAACCTTGAGGCTAATATATTTTTATTTTTTTAAGTTTTTATTTATTCATTTA